ATTATGACTTGAATGCTATTTCTTTACTATATAATTATTTTATTTTGAATTCTATTGTCCTTTTTTTTACATAAATGTAAAGAAAGGCTTACTCCAAGAAACATTCTGAATTCTGTCCAAATAATGTCTGTCTTTATCTTTAATACATTCATCATCCTTATTCCATTTTCATCGCCGAGTATTGGTAACTAATTTTTTTTTCATGAATTACCAATTTTATTTATTGTAACTGCTCTAGGAGTCTAAATTCTTGAATAAAATATTCTCAGTTTAGTCCAAATACTAAGTGAATTTCGAAAAAAATCATGTTATCTTTGATCCTTTAAGTTGAAATGTAGTACTTATGCTAAAAGGCTACTGAAATGTTTGAAGCACACTACTAATGCGTTTTGCATTTCATGTAACTCCAGACAACTAGCAATGAATTTTTTGTCGGCATTGTAAGAAATATTACTATACGGGTACTGATGCAAGCATCAACAGCATGTCTTATGTTTCATTTATCACGAAGCAACTGACAAAGTATTCTTATCGTCATTGAAAAAACATTATTAGTATTTATTCTAGTCCTACGACTAATTAACTCTCATTTCAGCACATTTTGTAATAATACGTTCTTTTATGATACATATTCTATTCATTTCTAATAATAAATATTCTCTGATAATGCATTTTCTAATGCTGAGAAATATTACCTACGTAATGTTATGGTATTTCTGCTACATGGCTTTTTAAAAATAATCAGCACCTTATGTCCTCGTATAATATTTAATATGTGACGTTAGATGTTTACTGCTTAAAAGCATCATTTTAAAATCATGCTTTGTATTACCAAATGCTAAAAAATATTTTAAAAAAATTAACAGGTATTTCTTTTAAACTTTGCTATTGTTTTTACCACAGATTTATCGTAAAAAAATTCCAGATAAGAATTTTAAGAAATTTAGCAAACATAATATCTGTGATTCTAAAAAAATCTGTGATATTTTATGATATTTAAAGAGTTAATCACCGCTTCTGTAAGGAAAAAATAAATTAATCGGCAGAAATGTCTGAATTGGTTAACTGTTAGCAGACTTAATCCAACAAAATACGGAAAAAATAATTTTGTTAAAAAAGTACAGGTAAAATATGAGAACTGTATCCGTGTGAAACAATTTTACTTACATGAACATCAATCCTTAGGTGCATCTATATGAAATGTTCTCTCCCTAATAGTATATAATTATGCTTTTGATCTGCACTTTTTATGTTATTTAGAAGTAATCAGATTCTTCACTGTTATTCTGTCCCAATTATCAGACATGAATGTTCAAAGCATATAGTCAGCAGCATATTTCGAAGCTATCATTGCAAAAATATTCCAATAGTATAATTTACCTGTGTTATTCATTACATGTTTCCCGATAAATAATTATGTTTCTTGTGATGCAATGTCTTTCCAGAAAATAATGAGGAAGTAAGACGAGTGGCAATTTTGTGGCTGATATACGCTTTCATGTCGATCATCACTCTCTAAAAATGGGAGCGTTTTGTTTCTAAAGAGCCATTACGTGTGCTAGTCATGTCCTCTTACCACCTGAACGCGCTCTCTAAGTGGATATAGCGTTACTTAATTCGCTCGCCGTCGACGAATTGGCTGAACAAAAGCGTTCGGTTTCGGAAGCAAAAGACACGCGAACTCTTAACGTTGATTAGAATTAACTCAGTAAAACTGTGACGTAAGAAACAGTTTTGAAGTACAATCTGTTTTCTTTTCAATTGCAGGATTTTGCTTGTTCTAGCTGAAGATCTTACAAATAGCGAACACTTTGAATTGACGATGTTTTTAATTTAAACTAAAAGCGAGTGAATGAAACCTCCAATTTTATTCTTGAAAGTTTGAAGCATATGCAAATTTATTAATTATTGCTTTTACGCAATGAGGCAGAACGATTTGCGGAGTAATAAGATGTATGTCTAAGTTTTCCTATTTTTTAGGTTTTCTAGATTTCCTGTCAAACATACTCGTAATATTATTTAATATTCGTCTTCAAAACTTTCAAAAATTAATTTTTAAAAAACAATTTTATATTATTCATATGATAAGGTAATCAATTTCTTCATAAGGAATTTCTTGTCAAAATTTCTTAGTGTGCATAACTCATCATTGCGTTGTTTTTCTTTTACAAGCTCGATGACATCGCATTCGTATCATTAATTTAGTTTAATAATCAATAATTCAGTATAATTATTGCTTGTTTTAAGCATATCAATAATTCAGTATAATATTGCTTGTTTTAAGCATAAAGCTCTGTGAAAGGCACTTCTATCAAGAAAAATAACAATCATTTGCTGTGCTAAAATTTGATCAAAGCCAAGTTTGAAATTATCTATACAGTATTCTTTCCTTATTAATAAATCAGCATACTATGGAAAGTGTAAAATATTGTTCTTTTCTTCTCTGTAAATCAGTTTTGTTCAGCCAATTGCCACAGATTTTTCAGATTTTATTTTATTTCATTTTTTAAGCATGATATTGCAGGTTTAGTGAAGAACCAAGTTGCTGAAATCGATAATGTTTTAAAATCCCTCGTTTCCTCGGTTTGAGATAATCTGCATATTACTCTTATGGTCACTGCAGTTATTCATCTTCAAAAATTAATAATTTTTTAGAACAGCGTCATCTCTTCTGCTTAGGGAGATATGAAAAGCTATTTGACATAAATCTGAAAGTAAAAACGTATTTGGCTAAAAATCTAAGAATATGAACTTTCAATAAGCCGTTTGCAAACTTCATAATTGCGGCACTCAGTGTAAATTGTCTCTTCAGCTACATAATTTAGCAAAATAATTTAGGTAGCATGCTTATGAACAAAGAGAGTCAACTGGTATGAGCTGTAATTAATAGCAAAGTGCCAAGCTTTGGTTTTCGATTAAACTTCATACTTCACGTAAAAGGCTCACAAATAGTTTGTAAATAATTGGTTGGCAAATTTACCTCATAACTCTTGTATTCTGCAAATAAGAAAGAAATTCAAGATATTTAGATTTTGATTTTAGCGTGCAATATAGTCCACACGAAAATTAGTTTTTACAGTTTCAAACATTTCAATAAAGTATGTATTTCAGTGAGTGCACGTTTATTATGTTTATACTTTTTAAAATGATATCAGGTAGAATTAAATAAAAATGCTTCCAATTCAGCACCTAAAATCCGAGGAAGTATAATGAAATAATAGTGTAAACTTGTTATAAGATATATAAAGATGAACATATGCAGTTATGTAATTTCTAAGGGAAAAAATTATGTATTTACGCTTAGGAAATAATCGAATATTCTTTTATATACTTTCATATATTATTTGTTTTGTAACACATTATCTTTTTATATTGTATTTCTTTTAGTATACATATGAAGAAACATTATTTTATTAAATTTCCTTTCTGAATGTTAAATGCTTTGGAAGCAGAAAAAGACTATAAACTGTATAAATTAAGCTAAGCTATAACTAAACTATCAAGAATAAGAAAAGTGAAATAAAAATAAAACTTAAAATACTCAGAATCCTACACATAACATTTAGGAAGTAACCGGGGGCTTAATTAATAGTAAGTAGTCAGATATTTTAAAAGATTGCTAGTTATTGAAAAAACACACAAAAGCCAACAAAAAAAAAAAAATTAAGTATAGTAAAAAATCTGAAAGGATTCAGAATTAATGTTTAACAAATTAAATTTATGAATTTAATTAATTTTAATCTCATATTATACCTTACAAGACTCAATTTTTATCCATTTTCCATCTACAATGCTGAAATATGAGTATATGATGTATTTAATCTTAATCTCTATCATTCAATTGTCTGCCTTATTTCTTATGAATAAAAAAGTATGTGTATGTCTGCGTATGTTTTTAATTCGCTGACTGGTTTCAGTTTTGATATAACACGACTTTTAAAATTTAAATTTGTTGTGCAATACAAATCAAATATTACATAAAATAGCACTATAGTTTAAGTAAGAAATTAAAAAGTACAAAATCCGCAAAGTAATTCAGTCTTATCTGGGTGTACATGAGTTAATGTCATCCAACTGTATTGATCCTGTGTTTTCTATAAACTTGGAATTATGGCTACTATGTGAACAATGCATGAAAAAGTAGTAATGCATTCTTCAAATAGATAATTTTGGTAAAAATGTAAGTAGTATATCAAATATGCAAAGGCATCAAACTCATATTAAGCTGCGTATATTTTCTTTCGGTGTAGAGCTTTTTTCATATGACGCACGTGAGAAAAGTTTTTAACTTATATTTAAGAATTGTATGCAGAATGTATTTTAATATGTTTAGCAATTATTGTAATTGCTTACAAAATATATTTTGCATGTTTATTGAATTTTTATTGCACTATTTCATCTTTGCTTGCATCTCAAATTGCACCGCTTTGGTCCAAAAATTAAAATAAGGTAATAAATGTAAAGAGTGCCTGTGTAAATTCATACGATAATAAGATACTGAAATTAGCATTTTGTAAAATAGCAAAAGAGGTATAATAAGCAAAACAAAAGTCATTTTGGAGCTTCTCGTATATTTCAGAGTGAATTTCTGAAGTTACTGATTTGAAAAGATGGATTATTGAAAATAATTAAAATTCAATTTTAAGAAAAAATTTTCCTTAAACTTAAAAAGAAAAAATGGTAAAAAAGAGTGATAAGTAAACTTTTAAAAATCCAAAACAATATTTCTTTGTGTGGAATTTTACCGAGAACTGGCAATTGTAATGGCTCTTCCTTTGCGGTAAACATCAAAGTCCTAAATTGGGATCGGGTGCAGAAAATGTATCTTTCTAAGTATACGCCAAGACAGCATTAAGGAGCCAAATTATGGGAAACAGTTAATGGCTGTGTAATGGCGTCGAGTGTCGCGAAGCCGCGACTCGGTAATTGGCTTGGGCGATTTGAAATACGACTGCTTGTGGCCGATCGGGTGTCATCTGTGAAAGGAAGTGACACGTCAATGAGTTTGTGAGAAGTTTATTCCAGATCACATAAAAATTTCTTATCTGTACACTAGAAATGAAACAGTAGTAAATTAACAATTCTCTCAGGAAAAAAAAAAAAAAATCATGATTCGCTAATCTTGTGAAACATCAGATTTTTATCGTCTAAATAGTTTTCGAATAAATATTTTCAGAGTCGTCAATGCTTCAGATTTTCTGATTACTCTCCCTTTTTCTATAATAAAGTTCTATACACTTATTTTCTAGGCCATGATGCAAGTTCTTTTTCCATTTTTAACGAAAAAAGTGATTGAAGAAAAGAAGAACCGTAGCTACATTAAGTAAGAATCTGAAGCACATATTTATCAATTAAACATTTGAAAGCAATACTTATAAAGCAATTTTTTTTAGTTTAATCACTTATTAATTCAAAGCTTTTTCACTAGCATACTAATACTGGAAAGTCTTTTATATATATGTGACGATTCTAGGATGTTTTCAATGCTTATTTTTAAAATTAAAATTGAACTGAAGATTATGTTGTTGTCATAAGCTTTACTAAACAGAAACTAACTAAAAAATTTCTCTAGAAAAACTGACGTAATAGTTACTCTTCAGAAATCAGTGTAAGGTAGATATATACATAAAAGTAAGAACTGTTACGAATAATATACGTCCTACAGCATTTATTTCTTAATTAACTGAACTTCGGTAATTAATAATTAGATAACTTCTTAACTAACGGAACCGGTAGGAAGAAAAACGTAATGTGAAAAAAATGGATTCTCCTATATCATTACTAGGCCCTGAAATACTCGTTTTCAATGTATTAAGATAAAGCGTAAGTTTCGGTTGATAAATCAGATCTTTGGAAGACCTAGAATCGTCCCGTTGAAGGAAAATGTAAAAAGAAGTACATGAAATATACCTAAGATTCCTTCTTAACTAGCTACGGTCCACGTAGATAAAGAATTCAAATTCTTTGGGAGAGATAATTGTCTAATCAGTCTATATTAGGAAACACCGAAACTCGATTTCGTAAAGCCTCTGGAAGGTAACGGTACTAATTGTCTTTACAAAGGAACTTCTGAACATAAATGTCGTGGAACGGCACAAGTTAGGATGTGTGGTGGCGATGCTTATGGTACTTCATAAATAACTTTCGTCTACGGGCTAAATACAGTGACTGGCTTGACAGGGCATGTAATGTGCATACCGACAGAATGACGAAGAATAAATAAAAGAGTCGATTATGTCTGGAATTTAAGTCGAAGAAGCCTTGGAAAATGCAGAGACCAGTCATGAAATATCACATTCACCATCAGGTTTTGAATGAAAAATAGTCTGTTATACTGACATTGTCCTGGTTTGCAATAAAGTTTTTTGGTAATAGCTTCGGAAATCTACAGTCACCAAAATTCCCTAGAATAACCACAGGGAGTGAATTTGCATGGAAAGGAAATTCAAGGGAATTAGCTGACATTCCATATAAAGTAAGAACTGTACAGAAATTGTTCTCCCGAAGGCATTATCGGCACCAGGCCGTGCGGTGGTTTTCTATTGAAGTGCAAGTGACGCGGTGGGTAATCACAGAGACCTGAGAGTTCGTTTGTCAGCCTATGAAAGCTACTGTACAAAAGTCCCCTCGATAGAAGTAGTAATCGCCCTCCGACGCATCGCAGGGTGAATTCTTTTCTGGTATTTAAGGATTTCCATTTTCATTGCACAGTCGGGCGCTGGGGCCATGAATTAGGTGAAAAATGGCAGTTAAAAGCATGAGAATTATGTCAAGGATCTACAAAAAGGAAATAATTATTTTGATCATTTTAAATATTTATGGCTTCTCTGAGCTAATCTGAAGATTCTGTGATTAAACGATTATTTTAACTTGCTCATATGCAATATTTATTCCGATTTCAGAATTTATATTTCTCGAATGATTGGAGAATTCTTAATTTGTCATTCAACATTAAGATTAAAGCATAGTGCATAACTAGATAACAGCGACTAGAAATTTCAAATCTTATTTTTAGAATGGCTACTGAATTATTATTAGTACCTTGTTTATTATGAAATTCTGAGTTGTATTTCATATAATGTCATATTTATAGCTTCTGTGGCTTATTTTCTACAGATTATCACGAACATTATGTAACCAGCAGAAGAGCAGAAAATCAGCAGAACTATTTTAAAGGTATATAACGTAATACATGTTTTAATTATAAAAAATCTGACAAAAATTATCAGAAGAAGCAGAGGACACCATTTTAAAACGGAAACTTTTTTTTTTCCGTCATATGATTTGACATACAAATATCCTGGATAATTGTAGTCTTAATTTGGACAAGTTCTGTTGCTAACGCAGAGGAAGGCGATTACTACTGACGACTTAGGAGGACGATGACGACTTGGGCCTTTCGTCATCATCGTCATCGTCTCTCAAGGGAATGGTGCTGTGGTTGTAGAGTCCCTGAGCCATCAGTTGAAGAGCCAAAGGATTTCTCGTAGGATTATTTTTTTTTAATTTTGCTCGTCGATTCTGAAACCATATCTTTATTTGGCTTTCATTTAATTTCAAATCTCGAGCCAAATCCATTCTTCGCTTTTCTGTTAAGTAACGGTTCTCCTGGAACTCTTGCTTCAGTCGTGAAAGTTGCTCTGCCGAGAAAGCTGTTCGAGGCCGTTTTTCATCGGGTTTCTTTTCTTTCTTTTTGAGACGTCTCGATCTGGGACCTGTAATAAACATAATGCATATTATAATAACAACTGCATTATACATCCATCTTATAATAATTATGAAAATGCATTAACCGGTTATTTAAAATTAAAGAAGACTGGTATAAAAATCCACGAAAGAGATTGATATCAAACATAATCAAACTGAAATACTTGCGGGCGGATGATTCGCCAGATTTCCTGCTGAATTTAAATACGAGATATGTAAGTGATTAAAAAAAAAAAAAAAAAAAAAAAAAAAAAAGGATTATTGACAAATTTTTTCAGATTCAGTATTAAATGTCATAGTGTGTATTTGGGTGAGTCTCAACTATAGAATTTCTTCCAAATTTATTAACCCAAAAGAGTCATTGTTTTGGATTGAAATGTAACATACTTGTAGATATTTATGTATCCTATTGATTAAAATCTTTCGTTAAACGGATAATTTCGTTTCTTGCTTTCGTTAAACGGATAATTTGCGAATAGATGGCATTTTGATGCTCAGAATAAGGAAATGTAACTCCTTAGATGATTACGAAAGAGTTTATGCTTTAACAAGAATAAATAAAAAAGGAGCTATAAATTCTTATAGTTACTGCCTACTGGCTTTCTTGCTGGCTACCTTGTAAATGAGAGAGGCAACAATTCTTTAAGTCAATAGCGAATGCGAATGCATGACTAAGCCAATCTGCAGTGAAAGCTGAAGTATCTTGTAATGTGAAACAATAGTACGACGAAAACGGAAAACATGAAACGGAAAGCAAAATTATCAAAAATTAAATCCTACATCTTTTAAGATCCAACATTTTTTAAGGGTATGATATGCTCAAAAGATAAACTTTATCCTGGATTTTTTGGGATTACTTTTGGATCAGCGAAATAAAGAGGACATTGCGTTTGTTTCGAATACTTAGAAATGTGATATTCGACAGTTTCTAGTTTTCTAACATAAGTCCGTTACCCGTTGTTCTTTCGGTTGGGTCAATGCAAAGCAGATTACAGTACTGTAAAATCCCGAAAACTGCCCGTAGAATTGGTGACTGGAAAATAAGTCTTCCAAAGGATAAAGCTGGTTTTTTTTTTAATAATGTGAATAAATGCAGCGTATGTGAAAAAAAATTTTGTTTCATACGAATTACAGAAAGAAATAGAGAAACGCCGTGTTTCTTTTGAAAGTAGGTTCTATTAAATCGATCAGGAAATTATAAACGAAAATGACTGAAAATAAAAACGGAGCTTAAGAAATGAATGTCAATGTGCAATGAAATTCAGAAGTCTTAAAAGAGAGGAAAGTGAACTTGAAAAACGTACTAGTTACCTTGTTTGAAGGCGAGTCAAATTTTCAGGTCAGTCTACTGAAAAAGGTTTTTTTTATATGCTAAAGTGGATAACTCTGCTTATTCTCTTTTTACGAGAACGCAAAGAAAAGATTCATATATCAATTTATTTAGAATATGCATCGATTTCATAATTTATGATTCATTATCAGCATCATTCTTCCAACACCACAAAATGAGAAAGTCGTTTACAGAATGACTGAAAAGTGACCAGGGTCTGAGAAAACTTACGCTCAAAATAATGCATATAATCAGCACCTATTCTGCAACTAAGACGTCTTCCCGTAATCAGTATGGTGAAAATTTTAATTTTGAAGACAAAATACATTCAGCTTAAAGTACTAATTAAGCCAGTAGCCTGATTTAGTTAAACTGGTACAAAGTCATGTTTCGCGAAAGCTATTAGCATTAGTGGTGAATAATTTCAAAACGGAAGAAACCGTGGAAAATTTTTTGTAGAGAAATAGGGTTGTATATTTTTTAAAAAATCAATGCAACTTTTTATAATAAATTAATTATTTAAGAAAAGTGAAGGAAATCCGGTATCTTATATTAGCCAACATTTGTTTCAATTTTCGCGAAAACTTCATTTATACCAGATAAGCGTTTATTTTCACATTTTTGACTGCTTAACATGAACATTCTGTAAACTTTCGTATGAAAATATTGGCATCATTTATTCAATCATTAAACGGAAAAAAAAACAGTTGTTGCGCAGTTAGATATCTTATCTTCGTTCCTGTTGCAAAGTATTTTTTACATCCTTCAATGGCAGGAAAGGATGTTCTGCATCCCTGCTTTGGGCACTTTGAAAAAGTTTGATTCTTTTCAGGTTTTCTTATAATTTTTTATTAAGAATTTTATTTCTTCCAATTTTGCGACTTTTCCCATCTCTCTCTCTCTCTCTCTTTTTTTTTTTTTTTTTTTTTTTTGAAAAAGTTATTTTGTCCATCGCCTCATTTATGCGAATATTAAAATAACATATGAACGTATGCACAATCTTGTTACTGTACAGAATGAAATCTTTCACAGATGCGATAATTAGATAATTAGAACCCGTTTAATCGAATTTAGTTAAATTGAAAATTTCTGAGGAAAATAACATTGATTCAGTAAGCTGAACCCAACCATCTCCACTTGTTTCTCTTTTAAGCTGATACTTTTTCCACTGCTTTATTATTTTAAAGGCAACAGCATACATTATGATGTAAAAGACATTAGAAACAGATAGTTTTAGTTTTATGAAAATAGATTATTTGTAGGTAGTATGAGCTTTTTTTCTTATATATTTCGAGTAAATTCTCTTTTCGTAAATATTCATTTATTTAAATTGCAGCAATTTTCATTGTGAGTTTTTATAACTTAATTCGTAGGATATTCTTTTCAGTAAAGTAAAAGGAATAAAAAAAGTAATTCTTTCTTTAAAAAAAAATTTAAAGGAAAATTTTTAACTTTATTGCATTCAAAATATGTACTGTCTAAAACAAGACAGAAAGAGAAATAGTTATTCGTAGCGAAGCTTATGAAAATGAGACATAGCCACATGCTCTACCTGGCTTGATCTAACAGCTCAGAATCTAGTCAACTGCCATAACAGAACTCAGAAGAACTCGGAAATTCGGAAGAAGATTAGCCATTATTTTCAGTCATACGGATGTAAGCAATCTCCTGAAAATCTGAATCTCCGGAATCTGATCTCCTGAAATTAGTTTTATACAAAGAGGGGCTCTAGTCTGCCAATGGAAATTCACTTAAATATTCACAGAAACGTAATTACACTCACACTTTAAATCTGAAATAAAACTGAAATTTTTTAACCATAGAACTATGCTATTCTCAAAATATTTTGACGTAGGTACACTGCTTTACGTTTACGATAACAATGCTCTGTTAAATAGTTAGCTTTTGTTTATATGATTTTCATTATCTGAAACGTAAATGTTTGAAATGAGTTGGAAATTCTGATGCATTAAAATTAACCATTTACGAAATTTTAGATATGCATTCTTTTTCTTCATAAGTATGTAAGTCAGAAAGATTTCTATTTTCTTCTTTAGAAGCAAAATTTTCATCAGGAAACATTTTTATAAATCAGAAAATAGTTATGTTCACTATAAAAAAAAAACAGTGTAGAATGTTTGATGCTTTGTATTTATTTATACACCTACTAAATTATTCTAGTCAAACCAATGTTGATGCATATTGAAGATAATGCACCTGTCCCTTTTACATGCAAGCAAATAAAGATTTTCTGTCACATCATACATTTTCCCGACAATTTGAGTGCTGTGGACGTAAATGATAAAATTATTCCATTCACGCAATGAATCCAGTTTGATGCATTAAGTTTTGGATTCTTTGCTGAAGCCAGAACAACAACAATCACATGCATTGGTAATTTTATTCTGTTTTCATTTTGATAATCAAATACACTGAGCATAGTATTAAAATTAAACTAATAGATCTTAAATTAAACACAAAGCATTAAATACGCTATCTTTTTTTTATTTAAGAATTCAGCTTCTTAAAAACAAACGAAACTAGCAACGACAACTTCTAATAATGTCTCAAATAATAATGGGAATCTCAATTATCAAATGAAATATAGAAAAATCTCAAATAATTGAAAACTTTATCAAGATTTTTAAAAGTTTTGTCGCTATTTTACGCTCTTTTGAAAATTTCAGGCATAAAGTTAAACCTACTTGAATTAATGTTCAAAAGGTTGACAATAAATTCATTGATTGAATTGTAGTGGACTTAACGTTCTTCAACAAATATTTCATGTCCAAGTTTTTGTCCTATAACTCGAAGTACGATATACTTTTATTTTTTACAAGGCAGGAACAAGGGCAGTAAATATGAAACAGCATTTATTAAATGAATAATAATGTATAATATATATATATATATATATAATTATTTCCTAAACAGTATTGATTAATTGATTATATTATCTCCTAAGTTTAATTAAAGTAGAATTATTTTAAAAGTGTGAATCCATACTGGTAAGTTTATATTTGAAAGATGTTTTGAAGTAATTTGAAAGCAAAATGTTAATAATGCTTTTAACGGGGACTGGAGTTAAATCATCACGAAGAATAAAATTTCAAATGTAAAAGGAAAAATTAAAACATGTAATCATTGTCATTGATCGGAAATTAGTTGACTTTTCAAGGGGAACAAACCAACTCCCGTTCAATGAACAATAATTGATAAAAATACGTAAATACGAAAGTGTTTCGTCTTTACTCGAGTTATAAGTTAAAGCCAAACCGGCAATTCTAGTCAGGCCAAATATTTCCGCAAATAGAAGGAATTATGAACCAATGCTGATACTCAAAGAACTTATTCTTATGAAGCATTTTAGTCAATTCAATTTGGAGTAAATATCAATTACTGTAGAGAAATCCTATTTAACTCGAGTAACCGTCCCCGACACTTTCATGTTTATGCATTTGAGTACTATATTATTTGTAGAAATTAAACATTGGAAATTGTCATTATGAAATCGAATTCAAAGTAAAGTTGAAATAAACATAGAAGATTATAAAAAAAAGATAAATAATGCAAACTTTGTAAAAACAAATCAAAGACAATATAAAAATAATATATATATATATATATTTGCTGCGGTATATAGCACAGACACACACACTACACTAGCATTAAAGTTCA